TTCGTGTACATTTAGGCGCTCGTTCGCGCGTGCAACCGACGAATCGTTTCCTCTTACTTCCTTAATGGGATTGATCAATCGGTATCTTAATCAATCGGTGTCAACAAAATTGTTCTCGAGATGTGTTCTTCTGGACGAGATGGAGGGAAGAGAAAAAAGCCATTGTTTCGAATCGAAGAAAAGCGAAAGGGAGAAGGTTTCGAGATGGATTCGTTCGATAGACAGACTTTTCTTCTTTGCAAAAAACAATTCGAATACCGGTCTCATTGTTCCCAAGGCGGTACTTTTTTTCGAGCTTTTCTAAAGGTGTTCCTCCTCTATCCCTTCGCGATGCTATCTATTTTAATTTTTCTTTCTCTTTTCTTTTCGCCATTCGAGCGAAACGAATCGAAAAAGAGAGAGAGAGAGAGAGAGAAAGGAAACTATTTCCTAATTTTTCTCGAAAAATTTCTGGAACGTAAGAATACTCCGGCGGAAAATCGTTTCAAATCGACACACGAATGATTCGTGAAATGAATCGAGAGCGCTCCGAAAGTAAATCGAAGTCTTGAACGTTTCTTCTTCGATTATGCTGCAAAGAATGGGGAGGAGGAGGAAGAAATTTTCGCACGGATCACGCATAAGCATCGGCTCTCGAAGCAGATAAAATACCACGACCACAATTAAACTTAATAATTGTCTCTAGTTGGAGAAAAAGTAGAGAAAAAAATAGCGAATATTCAACCATTTCCCGATCTCTCCTTAATCCAAGGATAAGTAAAGCGTTGAAAATAGAACGCTTTATAAAGTACTACTAGGAATGAAAGGATTTATAGCGCGCGCATGTTCTTCCTTTTTCCCCCTTTTTTATCTCGCAAGTCGAACGCTCGAACGCGCGAACCAGCTTGGCTCGAGAAGAAATCTTTCGATCGTACGCGCCATTTTCAACGAAATTTGCCGGAAATCGAGGAAAAGTGGTTCTCCTCCCCCAGCATCGGAGGTAATAATCGTACGTCGAGCGGTTTCACGTGCCTCGCCTTCGATAATCTTCCTCAATCGTTATCATTGCCTCTTCTAGACCGCATTCTTTTCGAACACGATCCCATCGAGTGCCCACCAATATCAAATCGCGCATACATCTCCACCAAAAACGTTATCCTCGCAAAAACGCTCGATAAGTTTTGTGTATCTTTTTTATCGTGCCGTTCTTTATATTTTCAAATTGAACTTTTCCGTCCAAGGTTTGATGAAATCACCGAACAATATTTTGCATATCAATCTCTTTGCGATAATGACATATCTATATTTCAGACGCTCAGACACGTTTCCTTCCGTATCCATTTTTCTCTCCTTTTTCTCCCTTGCGCGAACTTGGCCAACTTCATCGCGGTCTAAATCTTCTTTACCGCCTTCAAAGCTTCAAGCATCATCGTGGACGCTACTTGCTCCTATGCTACTTGCGCTTATGATATTTATGCGCCGCTGAGCGGATACGTGGACGCGTTAAGCTCGCTCGATATCAGGAAGGAATAATAACTCGGTTCAGATCGTGTTATCTATTTTCCTCTTTCTCCTCCGCGTCCCTCTTAAAACGCGCGCGATTTCCAACCAAAACGACGAAACAGGTCGAACTCGTTTCGCTCGACTCGACAAGGCGGAAGACTTGTTGCTTCGCGGAATCGCCTTCGACTCCGAATCGTTTATTAGAATCCGGATGTGTTAAAGTTTCACGGGGATTATAAACTTCGATCGATCGCGAGGGAAAAGTTGAAATTATTTAAAATTATCCCAATTTTCGCGGAAAACGCGGTCCTTCGTTGATCGTTTTTTCTTCTTCGATCGCGCGTATTTTTCCCTTTCCCCCTCCAAAAATAGGAAGGAAAAGGGTTGGAGAAGAGGAATGGACGGAAGTAACTGATTTGCACCCGTTCGTTCCCCAAAGCGGGAGGCGAGGTCGGGCCAACTTTTGCGGTCCAGCGGCGTGGAACCGGTCCGGGTAATTAAATATTTCCGCACGGCGATGAACGCTGCAAACAGAGTCGTTGAACGGGGCAATTACAGGCCGGTGTCCAACCGGTGTTATCAGCTTCAGCTTGGCGGGAATATTTTCGCGAATTTCGCGCGGGTTTTTTTCGTCGAAAAAAACTTGGCTTTCGCGCTCGCGTTAAACGTTGTCGATTCACGGTTTAATGGGTATGGAGGCAAACAAGAATAATTGCGGGTCGAATGTCGTTCAACGTTCCGCGGGAAAAGCAACGCCTGTGAATTTTTTACGCCCCTTCCTTGATTCCTTCCTCCCTCCCGATTCGAACACGCTGCTTTCTGTTCCCCCTTTTAATTGAATACCTGACGCGGAAACGTGGTAATAATAACGCGCTGATGAAAAGAGGATTTTTTTTCTCTCTCTCTCTCTCTCTCTCTTTCTTTCTCATCGAACAACGAGACGGAAACATAGAGATGAGCCGTCACGCTTCCCAAATTTTTTTTTCACCCTTTCTTTCCTTTTTTTTTTCCCTTTTTTAATGAAGCGAAACACGAGCGGGACGGGCTCTTTGTTCTCGCGTACATTCCTCGCGTATGAACAAGAAACATCGGCCACGAATGCACGAATTGGCCAGTCGCGAAAATTCCAACGGTTCCATCCATTTTTACGAACAACGCGGCGACGCTCGTCGCGCGATTGTTACGTCGTGCAACCCCTTCTTCTCGACTCTCTCTCTCTCTCTCTCTCTCTCTTTCTCTTTCTCTCTCCGTTTCTGTGCCCAGGAAAAATGCAAACTATTATACAGGGCACAATAGGCTGGACGAGGCTTTCACTCGTTATCGGTAACGAATCGTCTTCGGGTCGTGGACAATCGCTCGAAATCGCTCGTGCTCCACTTCTCCCTGTTACCCTTTCACAGATACCCTCCAAGGATTCCTCGAATTTCTATCGCGATCCAGGGGGTGAAAGGCTCGCCTTGCTCTCCACGATGGACAGGGCTCGTTCGTAATTTGCACCGACAAAAGGATCGTTCTCGTCTTTATCGCCATCTCCCCGGCTTATTTTTCCTCGACGAGACTCGAGGTACGCGATACGTGTAGGAAGTCGACGTTGCTTCGAAAGGGAGAGGCGACGCATCCTTCTTTTTCTTCTTCCTTCTCCTCCTCCTCTTCTTCTACCATTTAAATGCAAAGCGAGTCGTCCGAGGAATTTTTATCGAGCGTTGTAATTGCTCGTTTCCCCGTCTCGAACGAGCATTCGACTCGTACGAGGAATCGGCGAGATCGATTCGAGAGAACGAGCGCAACCGGCCCGTTGTTGTTTTTCGATTCGAGAGAGTTATTCCGATCGGAGACATCGATACCGCCGCGTGCCAACGAAATACGCAAATACAATCCTCTCTCTCTCTATCTATCTCTCTATCTAGTGGCTGGTGATCCATAAGTGGAAGCCGCCACGAAGAATCGGAAATTCGTATCTACTTGGAAATAGAACTCGAGAAAGAGAAAAGACCATCGGCCAAATTCTCTCAGGATAAATTCTATTCTGCTCCTAGTTCTTTCACGCCTTCCACCTCTTGCCTCTTCGCCTCCTTCTTTTCCTTTCTTCCCTCCACCTCCTTCTTCATTAACTTCTCCTTTTCCTCCCTCTTCTCCCCTCTCCTTCGCGAAACTTTCTCATTATCTCTCGGGAAGAAAACGCTCCACTCCTTCCAGTTTCCTTCCATTCCATTCCAGTCTTCTCTCCATTCTCTCTTTCCCGCGTCGAAGAAGAAGAAAGGAACGATTTCAAGCTGCGACAGACTTGGACCGGTGGATACCATTTTTTTCATATTCCTAGCTTTTATTAGTTTCCCCCCGTCCCCTTCTTCCCAATTCTTCGTCCGCGAAATTTCCTCGTTGCGGTGTCCCGCATTTTGCTGCGCGGAATTCCAGCACCTCAGTTTTTCGCGCTCCCGCTCGATTGTATCGGGAAGCTGGGGCGCGTCTCGTTTCTTTTGTCGGGTTTGCGACGCTGCGGGACTTTCCCCTTTTGTTTGTTTGTTTGTTTCTGAAATTTTTACGGTAACGAACTTTGCATCGTCGCATCGACGGGAAACAATTTGTTTCTTTGTTTACCCGCTGGAGGGCCACTCTGTTTGCCCGCAATATTTTCCAATTTCACGGTTCTCAGGGTTCGTCAATTCGGAGAGAGAGAGATAGAAAAAAAAAAGAAACGAAAGAGAAAAGAAACAAGAAGAAGAAGAAGAAGAAGAAACAGGCGTAGCGGGAAATAATGTCTGGCGGAAAGATTGGAATCGGTTGGAAAAACACGAATCGATTCACGGATACGCGAAGGCGCGAGGAAAGTTTGCGCTTTCGTAGAGCAAAGCGTTCCTCGCAATGGATTCGATCGCGACGATCGGACGACATTCCTTTCGAGCTTAATTCCGGTGTAATTAGAGGCACGCTCCGGCTATGGAATGTCATCCATGCGCGTCGTTACGACGACATTGTTCTCCGCCGGCTATAAATCCGTGCCTCGCGATTCTCGTGCGCCTCAACGACCCTCCAGTTAACGATTACACCAGAGTTTTCAGTTATTCATTAAAATTTCAACAATTTCACGAGGCGTACGCCAAAAATTGAAGCGAGCTACGAGAGGACCGCTCCTTCCGATTCTCTACACGGGATCTCTACGTGTACGTCTCGTTTTAAATTCCACTTTTGGCTCTCGTTCCACCGCGACATCGAATTACGCCCTAACGATTCCTCTCTCTCTCTCTCTCTCTCTCTCGCTACACGAATCGATGGTTTCGACGGTAATATCG